TTTATTGACTTAAATAAGTATCTGGGGAAGCCCTGAATGTACAAAAAATTAAATCGAGCAAAGTAATAAAGTTAAGTGAGTCATTAATGTGAAGTAGTATAGATAAATAGATCACGGAAAACCATAATAAAATATCATAATACTGTATATACAATATGTAACGTAATTAACGCACACTCTCAGACACCCCAATTAGTATATTATGTTATAATCATAATACATACACTGAATTTTTAGTTAAACATTTTTATGCACTGATTATTTATCAAATTAGTTATACTAATTCCGGAAGAATGTTGTGGTCACAGTACAAATCCACGAACGCAAAGACTTTAACTTGCTTGAAATAAAGTTCATTTTTCTTTATTTTTATTGAATGACAGAATTAGTAACAATACAAATAAAACTCAAAAAAACACACAACACACTCTAAAAAGTCTTATTGCCTTAAGTTACGGTCCATTTCAGTTTGTTTTGACTGTACAGATTTAGTGTGACTGTAATTTACGTAGTTTTAATTATTTTTGGGATAAAAAATTATCTATATTAAAAATGATAGGAATTGATTCAGTAAACGATTCTGAAGAAACTACTTTCTCAAAGTGGGTTAATTATGTTACATGTTGTATATGCATAATGTATGTAATATCATAATGTGTCATAGAGTTGTTTCTTGTGGTGAGTGTAGAGAACTGAAGACCCTTTTTACTGGTACAGAGACGTTCTGTCTTAATTTTGGCAAGCGCATTTTTTAGTTTTAGTCTTTATTACGAAGACGTTGCAGCACATGTCCTGATTTGTTTCCCTCTGTCGCCTCTTACGACACCCACGGGATGATATGGGATAGTGGATATTCTTAAACCGCCACTACACGGTAGTTAAACGCTTAAGACAAAAATTAAATCATTTATTTTGTCTTTTATAGTTATAACAAATTGACATGTAATATGAATGCATTATGTACATTGTATATATTTACATATTTAAAACTAAAGTAACCTATAATTAAAACATTTATTTTGATTTAGTTACTAAATAGGGCTATATTTATCTTAATATTTATACGTGTAGTATGTATTTGTATTCTTAATAGAATCAGGGTGACAAAAGAGCACACAGTCCACCTGATAAGTATATGCCTGGTAAGTGTATGCTGTGGCCCTTAATCATTTATATTTATTCTCGATTAGGATTCAAAAGGCGTTTGTTACCCCTGAGGACTAAGATGGAATGTCTCCTTTCCATTTTCAAAAGAGTCTCCGGATCTCTACACTCACCATACGAAACACAGCAGCATTAAACTGCTATTTTACGGTGGTATTCTGTTAGGGCGTGGTCCTACCCAGGTCGATCCGATCCATTCATGCTACAACCACGACATAGTTGCAGCGTGGCTCTACCATGTATAAAATCCTATACGCGTGTAAATTCCATCTTAATCCTCAGAGTTATCTATGCATCTATCATCTATAGGTGTATATACTCGTATCCATGAACTGTAACACCTACATACTATCAAGTGGACTCTAAGTCTGTTTGTCATTTATATTTCATGAAAAAACTAGCGAATCGCCCAGGCTTCGCACGGGTGCAATGTTATAATATGCATGTATTATACATATATATATATATATATATATATATATATCACCAGATGGCGGCAGATACATCATATAGATGGCGCTGTCGGTAGCACGGGCCTTCATCCATTCCAGAATCGGCTTGATGTTGATGTTGACGGCGGATCTTCCTGCTGTGTATGTCGTAGGCTGTCCTTCCATTCGTTGCTGAGGTGGTCTGTCCTGAGCATCCTCATGGATAACACTTCCTTACTCTCTTAACTAGTACAATGTTTCCAATCTTCAGGACAAGGTCTTCTTGACAATGCATCTGCGTTGCTATGATATGATAGAATTGCAGGTGAGTTGCCAGATTTTGAGAAAGGAATAAGCAGAGTATGTATTATTTTTGGACTTACGTGAGTTACAAATTGATACAATATGAATGTGTTCATGCTGAAACTCATTTCCACTTAGGTTTTAATTCCAAAGGCGATCATTATCGTTGAAATGCCTTTTTAGAAAGACGGACAAACAAAAATCTAATATAGAAGGCTATATATATATATATATATATATATATATATATATCATATATATATATATATATATATATATATGATATATATATGATATATATATATATATATCATATATATATATATATATATATATATATATATATATATAAGTTTCTCTTAAATCATTATGTCTATTGATAAAAACTGCATCAAAATCCGAAAGTCAATCCGTAGAAAGAAAATCCGTAGTTTAAAATATTTAGTAGGAGGAGGATAGAGACAAAAACACAAAGTCGTATACTGTAATTATACTGTAATTATATATACTAAGAAATAAAATGAAACACGAATAATGAAGAGTTATCGTATCTCAAAGTCATCTATACAAGGCTGTATTTTTTAACTAATAAGAAAGTGACCTAATAATATCTACCAAATAATACCAAGCAAAAAATATCATAATTTCTAGGGTACAAACACTTTGAAATACAGCTTAAAGCAAGGTTTAGAAGAAGCCGGTAACGCTGGCGCCAGTCCTCAGACAAGCCAGCGCTGGCCTGGCCCGTGTTGTTTAGATGAGGCCAAATGGATTCATGTCATTCCTAGATTATTCTTGTAAATCGTTGTATTAAATTAATGATATAATGAAAATAAAAAAAATAATGTTCATCGTATACCTACATACATCAAATAGGAATAGGAATTGGTACAATATCACTAGTAAAATGTTTGTATTACAAGTTATTTATTCTGGCACGTGGTTTGCGGGGCACGCGGGCGGAGGTCACTGGCGTGAAAAATAGGCAGGCGCTCTGCTTGTCTTGAAAAACTGTTTATACGAGGCCAATAGCAAGCCAGCTCTGGCGGCCAGTTTCACTGGTACCCAGCACTAGCTTCGTCTAAACCTTGCTTAACAATAAATACAATTCAGTGAAAATCTGTGTCTTAACTAGATATCTTAATGCCATCAAAAACATAACTTGTAAAAAACCAAGTCTCGCAACTCAGTTCTTCTACCTTAAAAAGTAGTGAAATCCATGTAATACCAAGTCGGTTAATTTATTCAGTCCCTACTTAAGGGCCCTTCTGTTTTAAATTATTACGTAATTAGCTAACCTAACAACATTTTATAGTGACCATATCAATGTTAAAAATCTTTTATGTTTTAAATATAAAGATTGACTTGGCAATAAATCGCACTAAGCAATATAATTTAATATAATATGTACTACTTGTGAGATACATTGTGTTTTCTTGCGATTGCCAAGTCAATTTTTATATTTAAAACATAAAAGATTTTTAACATTGATATGGTCACTATAAAATTTTGTTAGGTTAGCTAATTACGTAATAATTTAAAACAGAAGGGCCCTTAAGTAGGGACTGAATAAATTAACCGACTTTGTATTACATGGATTTCACTACTTTTTAAGGTAGAAGAACTGAGTTGCGAGACTTGGTTTTTTACAAGTTATGTTTTTGATGGCATCTCATTTCTTTTTGTAGATAAGATAGTCTATATTTTTACTTTCCGGTACCTTCTACTTCCTGAATGCCAACAACGTACCTATCTACACATATTATACTTATACAAGTACACTGATTCATTAACTGCAAATATAACTTTGTAATTCCATATATTTATATAGGATTACAAAGTTATTTGTGCAGTTGGTATATCTAGAAAACTGGACCGAAATTAAAAAGTATTTTAGTTTTTCCTTAATTTATACACTAAACACTAATTGTATTCTGAATTTGAAGCTTCTATGTCTGCTAGAAGTGCCTTAGACTTTTGATGATCGGTCAGTCAGTCAGTGAGTGACAAAATTAAGAAACTTTGAGTAGTTATACTTCTTAAACTACTAGTTCAAATTGAATGAAATTTGAAATATATCATGTTTATACAATGTTTACTCGGAAACTGAAAATTCAGGCTTCTAGTTTTATCCTCTACGAAATTATAGAGGGTCGAAAATGGCCTGAATTGCTTCGAGAAAAGTATGGTACGGCCGTGCCGCTTTTTTGCTCGACTTGGCGGGGGCACTGCCGTGCCCCCAGATATCTGTGTTTCACACAGCAGCGCTCTTCCCCTAAAGGTTATACATTTTACTGTATACAAGACAGATCACTAGTTAATTAGTAATTTAGAGTCGTAGAGTGTAGGTAAGCCTCCTTGTGTGTAGTATGACAGTATGTGAAGAGATATATTCTGCAAAAGATGAACGCCATGGTCTTAGTACATTATGTATAATATGGTACGTAAGGGTAATTGGGTCTTCCGGTTAATGTGGTCACTTTCTTGTAACTCAAAAACAGCCTTGAATACAGTTTTGATTGCATAGATGGCTTTGTGATACAACAGCTCATCTGTCAATCAAATAATAAAGGGTCAAAAGGACGATGCTTTATCAACATCGTTTTGAAAGTTGACATTATTAGTAAATATTTTAGTTGATTTTAGTATGGTGTAGTGTAGGGAGTTGTTTTGAGTAGATTTTTCGAAGTATTTCTAATTATTGCCAAAGCTTTTTTGCTATTGTTTCTTAATATAATAGTTATAGTATACAACTTTGTGTTTTTGTCCTGTACTTCTCCCAGTTATGGTTTTATAGGGCGGCAAAACTTAAGGTGTCCATATTACACTTACGTACCTTAGTTTTTCGAGATAGGGTAAAGGTTGGCTTTATGGTGATAATAAGAAAAAAACTTAAAATTTTATTTCAAAATTAACATTTATTAGAAAACCTCTTTACTTATTACAATAATCAGACTTTTCTTTTCAATAATTATTAATCACAGCAACTTAAATTCTTAAACATTAATAGGAAAATCAGATCAAACAAATCTTTTTGGTGTTGGCAATATGGAGATACGGGGGCAATTTGGTGATACCATATGTGGCAATATGGTGACAAGTCTATTCAGGTGCCCAATCACTGTCATCAGTGCCTGAAAAGTCTACTTTATCACAATTATCACACAGGAACTGTGGCGACTCTGTGCCAGTACATTCTTGGTGGTACCATTTGCCGCAGCTCATGCACTCTACCCATACAGCTCCGTTCCTAAGTGCCACATCTTGGGAGTAGTGAACACCGCAATAGTCACACATCGTACTTTTATTTGATTTTGGTGTTTTCTCTACCTTGACTCTTGGTAGTTTGGTAGTTTACGCTTCAGGTTGCTTTCAGTTGAAGGTCCAGGAGTTGGAGAAGCAGAGGGGACACGAATCGAGGTAACGGTCTCCTCACTGGTAACGGCGACTGTGGTTTCGTTTGATATGGCGACGATGTTTTCTTCAGGACTGTCCATGTTGTTCGTGCTTTGAGGTGTTAAATATCAGGCCTGTGGATTCCGCTTAGCTCGTCGGGTAGGTACTAGAAGAAGAAGACTGTGATACCTCAGGAACGGAAAGTAAAAAGAAAACTGAAGGTGACGCAGTTTCACGATTGACAGCAGAAGCTTGGGCATTATCAGTGGAAGATTCAATATTCTGTGACTGTAGGTCACTTGGCTGCATCAATGATGGGGCAATACTTTCATCAGAATGGCATTTCGATCAAATGGCGCAATGCCAGTTTTTCGAAAGCCCTTCATAATTATTGACGGCTGAAATGCATGCTCGTAGGCTGGTATTAATAGGCAACAAAAGTCAAGCCTTGTTGGAGCACTCGTTGGATGTTGAAGGTTATAATCATTTAGCACTTTAGCCCATGCATTTTTCAGTGACTTGTAAACAGAAACGTCCAGAGGTTGCAGGAGATGGCTTGTGTGACTTGGAAAAGTGAACAGATGAATGCCATTTTTTGTAGCGAAATCTATAACATCTTGGCTGACATGGGTAGAGTGAGAATCCATGATTAAAAGTACCGGTCTAGCTGGTGGATATGAGCTTCAAAATGATGCATCCACTCCAGAAATAGTTCAGAGTTAATCCATCCGTTTTTGGATAATCTCATGATAGACCCTTCCGGAGCACCGTTCGCTAGATCATTGACCATTCGGACACCTTTAAAAATGCGACGCTCCGCTCGCACTACAGCACCCAAGCACCGTTTGTGTGACACCTTTCTCTGCAAAAGTTCTACTGTAAATTACCTTATTTCCAGTTTGAGTGACAATTTTTGACGGTTTTACGACGAACGTTACACCGGTTTCGTCGCAGTTATAAATCCTTTCAGGCTTTTGCAGAATATCCAGCTCAATAACGACGTCCAGTAGCTTTTTATAAAAATCTTCAATGTTTTGTCTGTTAGCAGTAACAGCTCGGCATGCTGCAAGCTTTTCTGGCGTGCGCAATGAAAGCCCGTACCGTTCTTTAAACGACCACCACCAATAAGGCCCAGCTTTACGTTTAGCATCGTTAAACTGGTGATCTTTTCCTGCTTGGACTGCTAAAGCGTAACATTTAGCTTTGATGTCTGTGACGCTGAGACCAAATCCTAGTTCTTGCATTTTAATTATGTAGGAAACAAACTTACATTCAAGGTCGCTGTCTAATGTGAATGGTCTCCCAAGTTTAGGTAAGTCGAAACTTTCATCTCCATGAGTAGCTATGTCTTCTCAAAGTAGACCACGGTATGCCATATTCCTTCGACGCCTTGTACACTGACCAATTATCCTTTATAACTTTCATATAAGCCTCCTTGAAGCGTGAAGAGTCGTAATTTCTGCGTTTCTCGCCCTTCATTTTCCTTTTATTTGCCTTTCCGGACTTGTTCCTGTAAGAAAAATCATCCAATACGTAAGACTATAACCCGGACTAATGAAACACAACCCGATATTTTTTTTAACAGAAAGATACAACATTTCGATCTTCATCTACCCTGAAAACCCCATTCAAATTAAGCTTGAAATAAAATAAAAATAAGCTATGTAATGTTTTTGGTAATTTGGTGATATTTACGTACCGATTATCCTCCATTTTTTCGCATATTTTGGCGCGAAACAAATAAACCGCGTCCGGTAAGGACAGCGACCAGCGGCCAAATGAAAGAAGAGATGAACATACTCGCCTTCAGTTCATTGAATGAACGCAAAACTCGCGCTGGGCATTATAAAGACCGTTGAAAGCAAAATTAAGTCACCATATTGCTATATATCACCATTTAGCCAACCTTTACCCTAATACAAGTATGGTCACCATGTATGTACAATTAATTAAGATACCTGCATTTACAATTTCACAACACAAAAACTAAACTTGATTTAACGCAAGGTCACAGCTGTTATTTACAACACCATAAATAGCTAGACAAATTGATAAGGTTTAATTTGCCGTAACTAAATATAACTAATACCAATTTGTCTTTTTACATCCGGATTAATAGACTGCGTGCCACAAACGACCTTATGACGTAACCATAACCTTAAATGTAAATTCTTAATAACCTCTTTGCTATGTGAATATTCTGTCTAAACTTTAACTATTGTATATAAAACTAGCGCTCCGCACCGCTTCGCACGGGCACGGTAATTTTATATGGATAATATTACCGTGGCACGGGTGATTTCTGAATCCCCACTAAGCACCATCTACCGGGTCCAATTGTCAATCTAAACCATCCAGAGTAACAAAAAAAACTCAAACACACGAAAAAGTATTCGGTCCAACCGTATTGGAGGAGTTTAGTGACAAACACACGTACCGAAGCATATAAGTTTACTTTATATAAATACCTTTTTTGTTATAGAATAAGGGTGACAAACGAGCACTCAGTCCAAAATTGGTGAGTGGATGCTGTGGCCCATAGACATCCATAGATAAAGAATCAAAACGCAAATGCGTTGTCACCCCTGAGGACTAAGATGGAATGCCTCGTTTCCACTAAAAACGGGTGTCCGGATCTCTACACTCACCATACGAAACACAGCAGTGTTTTAAGCTACTATTTTACGCTGGTATTCTGTGAGGGCCTGATCCTTCCTCGGTCAAGCCGACCCATTCGTGCTACAACCATAATATAGCTGCAGCGTGGCACTACCATATAACCTATGGAACTTCCTGGCTAAGCAAATATTTTTTTTTTTATAGAATAAGGTGACAAACGAGCACACAGTCCACCCGATGGCAAGCGGTTGCTGCGGCCCATAGACATCTACATCTATTCTCCATTAAAAATCAAAATGCAGATACGTTGTCACCCGTGAGGACCGAGATGGAATGCCTCGTTTCCAGTAAAAAGGGTCTCCGGTTCTCCACACTCACCATACGAAACCCAGCAGCATTAAGCCACCACTCCACGCTGGTATTCTGTGAGAGCGTGGTTCCTCCCCGGTCGAGCCGACCCATTCGTGCTACAACTATACTACTAATATAACTGCAGCATGGCTCTACCACGTAAAAACGTTCTGCTCTTTCTGGTACTCCGGAGTTTTTACAGAGTAAATATAAAATTTAATAACAACTAAACCAAAACGCCACCTATCGATTCCATATTTTATTATTTCCTTTTTTGGCATTAAACCAACATATATTATGAATATGAGTCATTTTGGTCTATAAATATGGAATTTATTAATAACTTGACTACAGACCCACCTATCGGAATTATTGTCTTGACAAACAAAAACTAATTTTGTGAATACTACAGCGATATGTCCACTAATTCAAAAGTTACACGATCACTTACAGATGCACAAACGATTATAATATATTTAGAGATGTAATTTACCAATAATCCATAGGGTAGAGCCAAGCTGCAGTTATATTAGTAGTATAGCTGTAGTACGAATTGGTCGGCTCAACCGTGGAAGGACCACACTCTCACAGAATACCAGCGTAAAATAGCAGCTTAATTCTGCTGTGTTTCGTATGGTGAGTGTAGAGAACCGGAAACCCTTTATACGGGAAACTAGGCATTCGATCTTAGACCACACGGGTGACAACGCATCTGCATTTTGACTCGTAATCGAGGATATATGTAGTTGACTATGGGCCACAGCAACCACTTACTATCGAGTGGACTGTGTGCTATTTTGTTACCTATTCTATAAAAAAATAACTATAGGCTGAATTTCAGTCACGGCGGCCAGGCTCAACGAAGCTTACTATGCCCCTAAGATCGGAACATGCAGAACACGCGCTGCTATTTATTTTAATATTATGTTAAGTCTAGCTGGATTTTTTGGTGGTTTTCCTCATAACAGTGATTTAATCTGAACCAGCAGAAAAAGTATTAAAAGACTTTCAATTAGTATTATTAACAATGTATGTTGAACAAAACATGTTCTATATTGTTAAGACTTCTTTCTGTATAGTTTATTTTTTTAAATATAAGCAGAGTATAACAAAAACGTGAGCATTCATCATATCCTTCATCATCAACAAGTATCATTAACGATCTATGTTAAAAAAAACTTAATCTATTTGACTCGTCTTCTTTCTGTATTGTTTTTTATTTAAATATAAACAGAGTATAACAAAAACATGAGCACTGTTTAAGTTTAAATTCTCTCTGCTCGTGCACAAAGGCTGCTACGGTAGGATCGTTTCACAGTAAATAGGTCGCCAGTAGACTGGTTTTGTTCAGACAATGCATGTCGTAGTAAATGGAGCGAGCTTCCGACGCCGTAAAGCTATGTATAGACGGGCCTCTTTGCTACCTTTTTATAATATAAGGCTGTAAGCAAACATTTCTAGTTCATGCTGAGGTAAATGTTTGTATTTTTCATCATGTTGAAGTGTTGGAAATTCTATGATTCCATTTCGTCCAACGGGTGTCGAAAAATGTGACTGGCAAATGTGTATAGCAAAACCTGCTACAATGGAAGAATGATGAGGAAATATATGTACTGCCATTCATCGGCCTCTAGAACCTCGTTCGTTAATTACCAAGTTGCACCGTGCCCAGGTATAAGCAGAGTATAACAAAAACGTGAGCATTCATCATAACATTCATCATCAATTAGTATTACATATTAACAATCTACTATAATATTTAGACTTCTTTCTGTATTGTTTTTTTTTAACGTAGTGGGGAATAAGGTATAATGCATAGTTACCTTTTACTCTACACTCACAATAAACAGCAGCCTTTGATATACTAAAAACCCTAGTTGGTTTTAAGTACATGAGGTTTTTTGAATATCAATGGCAGTAGCACACATAGCAGCGTTAAGCTACCATTTTTCTTAGTTGAGCAGTTCCATTCGTGCTCAACAATAATGTATCTACAATACTATAAATGTATCTACTATACTAATAAAGCCGTAAGTGCTTTTTACGTGGTAGAGCCACGCTACAGCTATATTATAGTTGTGGCGTGACTGGGTCGGCTCGACAGGGGAAGGACCGCGCTCTCACAGAATACCAGCGTAAAACACCAGTTCAATGCTGCTGTGTATCCATCTTAGACCTCCGGGGTGCAAACGCATATGCATTTTGATTCTTAATCGAAGATAGATTTAGATGTCTGTGGGTCACAGCATCCATTTACCAACAGGTGTACTGGGCTCTCGTTTGTCACCCTTATTCTGTAAAAAATAAAAATATACTACTTAAATCGTAAAATAAAAACAAAGCCCGTAGATTTATTCGTAAAAATTGCAATAAAGATTTAAATACAAGTGTTGTAAGGATTACGATTAATATAATCCATAATCACATATTAATAAGCCTTAATTTTTATTTATTTATTTATTTGTTTTTTAAGGGAAACATACAGTACAGTAAAAAAATACATTATAAAACATAAAATATAATCCTAAAACCAATGAAGTTTCCACAGATATCTAATACATACCACCATACTTGCAACCACAATATGTTTAAAGATTTAAAAAAAATAACTAAATGGTATTTATAATTAACATTAAGTACTAAGCAGTTAAAAGTAATACCTACAATACACACAACCTATAGTGAAGCTACCAATTATAAATTAAGTTTTACAATCTTTTTTATATAACTATTATATTTAAGGTGAAAAATATCTAGTTCACAATATTTTAAGTTAAAATTTTTACATGTACGAGATACAAAATTATTTGAAGCATACTTCGTTTTTACTTTACGTAATGCAAAAAGATGATGCATCGTAATTGATACAATCACAAACAATATAAATAATGTTGATCTTATTAAATAAAAGTTACTGAAAAAAGTAAACATTTTATCTCCTGCTTTAGATTGCCTCTGCTGCCTCTTATGACTCCCACGGGATGATAAAGGGTAGGGGATATGGGACGCTAGGGCAATATGGTTACCGGTTGATATGGTCACTTTTTTGTAACTCAAAAGCATGCAACCTTATTTGCATAGATAGCCTTGTAGATACGATAGCTCTTCATCGGTCAATCAAATAATAAAGGGTCAAAAGGGCGCTGCTTTATCGACGCCACTTTGACAGTTGACATTATAGTAAATATTTTAGTCGATTTTAGTGTGGTATAGAGTAGTTAGCTTTTTTTTTTTAATTTTATTTTTCGAATTGTTCATAATTAATTCAAAGTTT